CTGCAGGCGAGGCAGTCCAGGAGGCTGCTCTTGCCAATGCCGAAGGCAGTCAGGGGCTGCCGCTGCAGCTCCTGCTTGAGCTGTCGTGGGGAACAGGCCAGAAATAGCCTGTTCCCGAAACCCTGTTTTTGTGCCTGAGTCTTAGGGTGGGTCGAATACAATGAGGGCCTGAAAATGGCCTTCCGTTTCAGGCTGAAAAGCCTCTTGGCCTGAAAGGCCCAGAAATAGGCTGAAAACGGAATAGGGCCTGCAGGCCCTCATTTTTCAGTTTCAGGCTGAAACGACCGGGGCCTGTAAGCCCTATTTTCTAGGCTTTTAGGCTGAAAGTGCGGGACGGGCCCTGCAGGGCCCGTGTGGCTACGCAGTATGCCACACTCTTGATGAAGGCATGTTTGTGGGTGGCCGCGGTTTTTTTAGACGGGAATCATTTTGTTTGCAGTCATGGTCATGGTATCTTTGTGAGGAGGCTCACAGAGTCTTTGCTGTGGATGTCACTCCTGCGGGCTGCCCTTTCAGAGCACATGGAATTTTTTTTTTTTTTTTTTTTTTTTGGAGCACATGGAAGATGGTGGTGCTTCGAAAAAAAAAAAAAAAAAAAAGGCAATACTCAGAAAACAGCATAAAGCTCAAAAAGCCTAAAAGATTGATTCTGTGCGGGTCATTACAAGGAAACTGCTCTTCAGAAGATTGCCGCTGTTCTCCGCCGATTCCCCGAAAAGCTGCTCCCAATCCCTCTCCTTGTCGCCAACCAGAATTATCCACCACCACACGTGGCGGCTTGCTAAGTCCCCCCGAAATTTCCTTCCTCGCCAGAGGACCACTTTTTACACCAGTCGACTCCCACCAAACCAGGACCACTTTTTACACCAGTCCTCCCACCGAACCAGGACCACTTCTTACACCAGAGGACCACTTTTTACACCAGAGCACCACTTTTTACACCAGAGGACCACTTTTCACACCAGTCGACTCCCACCGAACCAGGACCACTTTTTACAGCAGAGCACCACTTTTTACACCAGAGGACCAATTTTTACGCCAGAGGACTACTTTTTACGCCAGTCAATGCCTCTCTTCACGCACCATCCAACTCCCACCGAACCGAGAAGACATCCATAAGAGAGAGTAAACTGCAACACCAAATGATATTGACCCCAGACTTCAAACAAACATTTAATGCCACACTGAGTACACACCTCAGCACACGGAGATATACAAATGCAAACTGGTCTTCAATGCGTCAGGCTTTACCTTCACAGTGAACGCATCAAGTACATGGCCTGTGATAGAAACATCGCGAACATCTTTCTGCTGCTGCTCAGCACATGGAGAGATGGAAACCAAAACACTGAAATGGAGAATTCGAATCGTTCCGAAAATCAAAGTCCAAATGCATCAAAGTCCAAAATGCAACTGACGGCTATGACAATCAGCAAGCAACGTAGGATGAACTACCATTCTTGACCCTCCAGCCTGCGTGCCTCTCTCTCTCTCTCTCTCTCTCTCTCTCTCTCTCTCTCTCTCTCTCTCTC